AATTCCCTGCTCAAAAGTTCTTGTCTCTTGCACTGATTTCTTCTTRWAYCATTGTGAAGCTCTACTTAGAACCTTCTTAAGATCCAACAGTGCAAAATGCAAATTCTTGCACTTTTTTAACTGGTCTTAAGATTTTGATACTGTATATACAGTATATATGTCAAATGTTATTAAGTTTTATTTAACTGGGTAAATCCCTTTCAAATCACAGATTTCGTTTGCAAGGGGAGCCTGTATCTGAAGGCTAATATTTAATGGTCAGTGTCCATCCTGTTAATACTTTCTGTAAGTTTCATTAAAATCTGTGGTTTCTGAGATATTGCTGACGGAACTGACTCCATTGATTAGGAAAAAGATACACTGAAATCAGTAAGCATTCAGGTAAAGTTTAAGCACAAAATTTAAATGACTTTCAGCAACTAACACACCAAATTTTAGCTCAGTAGCCTATCTGAAAGCCACTTTCATGACTTTATGTTAAACAGGTGTGCATCCTGTGATAACTTTCTGAGAGCTTCGTTAAAATCACGAGTTTCTCTTAAATATGATAGAGACAGGTAGAAAGTCACATTTAAAAATGTACTTAGTTTTTCCCTCTTATGACTCACAACACAGGATGCAGTTGTGGGTTTGCGGACGTGCCGCTGCGTGCATCCTCCTCTTTCCTCCTCACTTGTTCTTCTCCTGCAGCTCGGCTTCTGATTGGTCTAAACCACCCGGAAGTGAAGAAACTAACTCCTTTTCCCCCCTCTTCGCAACTCCGGTGGCAGCGTGACCCTCCATCGCTTCAAATTCTAAAGAAAACCGAGTTAACATTCGTTAAGTCTTCTTAGAAGTTGTCGGAACTAACTCCACAGCCGCGCTTCAGCTGTTTTGGAGGAATCCTCTGCATCAAACTAACCGGAAGTGCAGCGTAGAGGGCATCGGCGCGAGGATGGCTGCGTACAAGCTGGTTCTGATCCGCCACGGCGAAAGCTGCTGGAACCAAGAGAACCGCTTCTGCGGGTGGTTCGATGCGGACCTGAGTGAGACCGGAGAGCAGGAGGCCAGGAGGGGAGGACAGGCCCTGAAAGGTATGTTGGCAGGCTGTGAGCGTCACCAGGCCTGCTGAAACCTGGTGCTAGGCTTATGTAACTCCAGCTAAAGACTACACAACGAGATTATTATTATTATTATTATTATTATTATTATTATTATTATTATTATTATTATTATTATTATGGTGTCCCAAAATAAAGGTGTAGAAAAGCCCCATGTACATAATTAAACCAGTATACCACAGTTACTGTTATTCATCATGAGCTGCAGAAAAGACTGCAGTGAAATCTGTTGAATTTAGGTTTAATTTGTAAATAACTTTATTAAAAACGTGCAGTGTTAAAATGTGGGGTATCAGAGTTTAAATTCTTGTTAAATGTTATAAAACCTAACCATCTTTATTTTAATAGTTTTATTTTGAATCTAATTATGCTTTTCACCATTATTCTCCAGCATATTTTTGTTTACGTTACAGGCATTTTTTTTTGTGTTTATTAATGATTTTAATGAGGTCTTGAATGTAAATCTTTGCCTACATACTGAGCCATAATGAACCTTGTGGTAGAGCAAGTTTTTGTAAGAACTCTGAAGCACATGTGCAGTAATATAATGATGTTGGGGGAAAGAGGAGCCTCGACAGCTCATCTCGAGACCTAACGAAGCAGCAGTGGGGGAAACCCACTAACGGATGTTTCATTCATTCAGTTAGTGTCAGAACCATTTATATATATATTATTTATTTATTTCCTTTATTTAACCAGGAAAGTCCCATTGAGATTAAAAACCTCTTTTTCAAGGGAGTCCTGGCCAAGAGGCAGCAAAAAGTATACATT